CTACCTGCACTGCAGCCTGTCCCCCAGCAAAAGGTATTGCCAATCCCACAGGCATTGTTCCTTTAACAAATAGTCCCACAAACATTTCTATTTGGAAGCCTTATTTCTTAACACCAGCCCTCTACAACAATCCTCTTGTAACTTTTCAACTCATCACTAGGTTTATAAAACTTTAAAGCTAGTGCTATAACAAACTGAAACAATGTTATTGCAGATGTAGGAGAGCATCTTGGGATGAATAAATTATAGGAGCCACAAAGAAATCACAACTATAACTGCTGGATGCTCCAAGCTGTCTACGGTGTGCAGATACACAGGAGGAAGCAGGTTTAGAACTGCACAGATCATAGGGCAGGAAAATTGAAGCGTTATGAAGGGTAACCATTCCTTATTTCAAATGCATACAAAACTTCTTGTTTTCCTCATTGAAATAGTTCATTAATGCTTGAAGGGAGTCTGAACTGTCTGGTACTAGAAAAATATGTCTGCAAAGATTACCTAGAGAGAGAGAGAAGGCTACAGTTGGAAATATTAGCCTCTAGTCCCACCTTGCAGCAAGTACAATATACTCTGAACATGCTAGTCCTCAGCTGTCTGTTGAAAGGACATGCAGGAGTGGGAGAAGACTTCCAGCTCCTTCTGAAGCCATCAGTACTGGATACCATCAGAACTGGATCCATCAGAGCAGATTGGTTGAACCACACCATTAAGCTAATAGTGACTTTGGGCAGCATTCAGGCCATGTACCACAAGGACAGAAACCTGCGTGCTGCTTCAGCTGCAGAGTGACTTGAGCTCCATGCTGTCAGTGCTCTTCATTCTCCTGGGTCAGAAGTATTGCTAGACTCCTCAGTAACTTGGGCACCATACTAAGAGGTCTGAAAATAGCACTAGCCAAGTATTACTATACACCAACACACATCTATATATACCTGCATGTTGTTCCATGTTTACTGCAATTCAACCACCTGTAGCAAAATGGCATTTACCAGATAAGTTATCTAGCCAATTTCCTTTAATGAGAACTAGGAGATACCATCCTTCCATTCTTTGCAGATCATCTGAGCTACTGAACATCATTACAAAGACGTTTCTCCTTTCAGCCTGCCTTTAAACACCCAACTTGCAAATTTGTATAGGATATGAACAGACTCCAGCTAGGCCTTTCATCTTCATGGATCAGGACTTCCCAGAGGGTCTGCCAGTCAAATGTGCCCTCCCCAGTACCTATTTGGCCTGGCCCCTGGCAACCTTTCTCAGGCATTTCAATTGATGTCACTGATCTTCGGTCAGAAAATAATCCTTCTAATCACTGACAAGAACAGAGGCTGCAGCTCAGTGTTGTTTAGCAGGGCTAAGAGGAGTACACAGTAATAAAGCATTACTCTAGCAAGCGAGCTTGAAAATACGGCTGACCACATGCAGGCAGCAGCTGCAATGAACAGTAAGGTGCCTTTTTTTTTTTAAATAAGGACTGTAGTTTTGGTCCCTCATCATTGGAAGATCATTACAAAGCCAGCACTGTACCTATGAACATCCTGCATCCTGGCATGATTCCATCTTCTGAGCTGTACCATGGCACAGCATCTGGGCATGGCCCTCAAGGAGGTGGAGATGCATTGGCTTTGTATATCAAGGCATCAGGAAACACATAGCATGTACAAGCAGCTGCAAAGCATTCTGTATATCAGTGCCTGGAACTTCCACCATAAAAACATAGCTGTGTTGCCTTTGCAGAGAGCTCTGTATCCTCCAGGATTGAAAATGTCACCACATTGTCATTTTAGGAATACAGTTCCCATGGGACTGAAGGCAAGGAGTGGTCCTTAGATCATGGGTGGAGCTGTATTCCTCCACAGCACTGCATCCAGTGGGACTCCCATGGAAAACACCTTTTTGAGTCACGCAATGGCTAGTCACTGATAGCACTTGTTCCCTGCCATCACACAGCCAGCAGACACCAAGAGACCCAGGGAAAGGCATAGGAGAGCTGGGGGCTCTCCTCAGCCTCCCCAGCCCCAGCACCAGGGCCATTATTCCTGAAAGTATGTCTGAGGATTAATTAATTATCCTACAAGGGGTAGTAAGTAATAACACTCCTTGTGGAACAATAGAAGCTATTTGGTTGCCATGACAACACAGCTTCACTTGTGTGCCTTTAATTTATTCATTGTACAGTCGCTTTCCCAATCACACATGATGCCAAAAAACGTCCTATTTTTCTTGCCAGTGTCCATGTCCAGAGCAGAGGTAACATACAACCCTTTCCCTGGGGCATCTGTCACACAGAAGAATGATGCACATAAAATCCCTTCAGCTTGGAAACTTACATCACATGACAACTCTTCCACTCCCTAAATTTTTGCTCTTTAAGATGATTCTGATTTTTTAACCCCTTTTTTAAGCTGCCTCACTATGGTGCTTTATAGATCTTGATCCTGAGTAGGTTTGCACATATCGCCACCTTGTCCCCCATTCTGCCGCCACCCCAACATATTTAGGAAGGATGCGCAGGAGATTATGCTTGTCAAGTCAAACAGAGAGCCAGGAAGGTACATGCCCAGAAGGTACATGCCTTCACAGTATCAACAGGAGCATGGCATGAACAGACTGATTACAGCCATCACAACCATCAAAACACTCAATGTTCATCAATAGTGCTGTCCAAATTCTGCAAGATCCAGAGCAGCATGTGGATGAAGGTCCATGCCAGGAAACGTGATCTCCAATGCACCCCACAGAGATATTATGGTTGCTGTTTCTCCCCAGACCCAAGCATACAGGGGGGCTGTCCTGTGGCAGAGGAAAGCAGATGTTTACTGGAGATGGGAGAGCATTGCATTCACGTGGCAAGGGTTGAAAAATGTTGCTTAGAGAATGGCTACTAGCCTAGGACACAGCATGCCTAGCCACAGCTACTCATAAAGCACTTGATCAGCCTTTATAGTCCATGGACAGACCTCTAGCAGGAGGTTAATCCTGAACCAGCCTCTGCAGTGCTCAGGTACAGGTAAGATGTGAATCAAATCCTTCACTTGCTCCCAGTTATGTTTGTGCAAGCTGGGGTCTTAAGCTACAGGTCCAGACTCCAAATTGTCCATGCTGAGCAAGGAAGGTGACAGCTGGTTCACCCCATAGGAAAATTCAGGTCCAAGTTGAGACCGGGGAAGGAGATGACTCAAAGTTGAGCTCTGCCCGGACAGGCAAGATAGATGGAACTCGGTTAAGCCATCTGGCTCTTCTAAGTTGAGCCTAACCTCAAGCACAGCTACCCAATGCAATGGGGCCATAGGTCTGTACCTGAATTTCCAACTCTATACACTGTCCAATGTCACTGTTACTAGACTGAGGTGTAACATGCCATGCAGATAATTAAGGTAATAGTGGAATGATAGCAGAGAGTCTACAAAAGAAACTGTTCCATATGAGAACCTGAAGGTTTGTGGTTGGCCCTTCAACCCGGGTCGTATAAACATGTGCATTCAGGATTTTCAAGCAGTTTGGAAACCAAAACGACCAGATAGTCTTGCCTCCCCACTATGCAACTGCAAAATAGCTGGTGAGCCAGAGAAACAGGGCAGAAGGGTCCAGAAACAGATAAATAGGACAGGAGCATTGGGAGAGCAAGGTTTTAATTGACTTGAATAGCAAGAGCTCTAAACTGGCCTAGGATTCTCCTGCATGGGTCAGCAACCAAGGAACAGGATGGCTGCTGCCAGGAGGTCCCCACCAGTCTTCCACTCCCTTCAGCATTTTGGAAAGGAGAGGATTTAGGAGGAAAAACCGCTGGGCAGAATGGAGGAAGGCAAGGTTAGGCAATCATCATTGTAATCCATGTCCTCTACTGGGTGCTAAGGGCTTCTGGGAGACAGATAGGATGTGTACCCAAACCATGACCAAAAATGATTAACGAACCATTGCTATCTGAGCAGATATATTATTTCTTCTCAGTGGTATGAAAACCTCCAGTCTATCAATGCCACCCAAAACCAGATCTCCATTAGATGCCTCCCTTTCCACTACAGATCTCCAAAGAAATGCCAAATTACCATGAGCAAATATGAAAAGCCACTGACTGTTTTTCATCTTGGCAGGCACAGGCTGACTGTAAAGCCACCACTGTCTTTGTGTCAACTGAAAAATACAATTTGCATCTACTCTTTTAAGGCATAAGCATTAATGGATCAGAGAGGTGGCTGTGCAACCAACATAGAAGTATAAAGGATGAGAATCTACTCTGAATAAGATGCCACCAGCTCCAGAGATGCTAGCAGAGATCCTCCGTCCACACGTTCAGATAACACCAGAGATACTTCAGTGTGCTGGTATTGACACTCACTAACCCTACTAGAATTTCCCCCACATTAGGAAGTGAACTACAGTCTTTCAGCATGTCCAACCACAAGTACCACCAGCAGGGGTAGGTGTGTATCACAGAGGTCCCACATGCCAGTCCTGTCTTGCAAGTGTTGTTTCAGTGAGTTCAGGATTGTTTCAGCCTGGGGCTGGGCTGAGGCTCTGAGGACAACTGACAGGCAGTCCCAGTGACACAGGCCCCTCAGTGAGTGGAAGGAGGAAAGCTCAGACTGAAAACAGTATGTTGAGAAACAAATTTGAAAAAAAACCAAACTCATTTCCTATGGCCCAGTTAAGCATTTGATTTTCTTTTTCATCACACTACATGTGGAGAAATCATCCTTGAATTCCTTATGCTCTAGTGAGGAAGAATCCTGTCTTAAGTCAGAGTTCCCATCACCTCTCAAAATTCTGTGTCCAAAGCAGAAGAAAAAAAATACCTCTTCGGTACCAGACAAATATCACTCTTCCTCCAACAACTTCCCAGCTGCAGGGAAGATCTGTAGTAGGAGGTGAAGGAAGCAGAGGTGTGACTACTTTGTTTTTCAGAAGTGCACCCTGAGATCTCAGGTGGCTTCAAGAAGCCATTGTCATGGAAGCACATCTCAACAGTTTATTAGGATTTTTTTTATTTCCAGACTTACCATGTTGACTTCAGAGATCTGGTCAATGCTGGAGATATGGATGCTCATTCCCACTGTGACAGGGTTACCTGAAACACAAATAGACTGTGTAAGGACCATATTCAAGCCCTCCTCCCTTATCTACTATTGAAGAATTGCCTAGAAATTCATGGGTATGATTTGAAGCAGCCTCACATTCCCCAAGTATCAAGGATTTCCACGTCACGTGCTTAAATGATTAGAGAAGAGTAGATTTCTCTAACTCCCAGCCTTACAGACTCACCCCTATGAGTAGGGCAGCCTAAGCTTGATTCTTTAATTCCTGGAAGTTAATTACCCCCTAGTTATACAATTATCTCTGGTTATTCCAAATAATGCCTTCAGAGACCATCAGTAGGCTCCCAGTGGGCTTGCATAAGGTGTTACTGATTGACCATACAAAGAACATAGTAATCAAGCCCATGCAACACATGGGCAGGAAAGATACTCCAGCTCACTCCTCCATCACTCCGTCTGCATTGAGTGCTCAGTCTGAAAACCCCAAGTGAATTTCAATACCCAAGATACCACACAAGTACAGGAACCAGATCTACGAAGTGAGAAAGCAACATTTTCAGAGCAGAGCAGCACTTTGATTAGAGAACAGATTCCCCATTTTACTATGGGCATCAGGGCACATGTCACCCCACATCCTCTTGCCTGCAGCCATGGAAGACATCTGTGCACAGGTTTGCTGGGAAATCCAGATATTCCCTTACCCAGTGACCACTGACTGCAGCATGGTTGTGAAGAAACACCACACAAGGGCAGTCACAGCCAGACTTATTGCCCTCTCTTGGCCAAGTGCAGCAAGAGCTGTATTACCCACAAACCTGTAGAGTCAGGGCAGACACCAGCCATTTCAGCCAGTTCTTCCAGATGTGTGGGCATCCCAGCTAGATCTAGTCTCATACCGAGCTCTACCTAAGCCCCTCTGACTAGCAGCTCCTACAGCCAGGCAACAGGACAGCCCTTTCAAGTGGGATTTAAAACAATTTGCAAAGAGGTACATATCCACTACCAAAACCAGTAAAACAAACTCCTATAGCTTGAGATGGGGTTTGTGAGTGCTACCCCTCTCCCGCCATCCCCACAGCCAGAGCACAAACCCAATCCCACTGCAATCAAAGCCCCTCTTCTCACACATGCAAAGTGGAAAATGATTCCTTGCAATACAGTACTAGAAAGGGAATGGCATGCAGTGATGCCACTCAAGGTATTAACTCTTCCATGGACTCATTAGTAGATCTAAGCACTGAAATATTTATAGATAATCATGAAATGGCTTAGAAAGTAATTAGGAGATTGGGGGAGAGGGGAGAACCACACAACTGGAAATGAAGTGATTTTTTAATTATGTGTTACCAGAAGTAAGGAAGTAGTGTCATTAGGGCTGTCTTGTGATTGGGTATACTGTTAACCAAGACCCTCTGCTGCAAATTAAGCAGCATTATCCTTTAATGGAATATGAACAACACTGAAAACATCAGAATCAACAACTGTAATTAGGCCCTGCTATGCAAATCTCCTTAAAGAGGCAGTGCTTTTCTCCAGCACTCCTGGCTTGCTGTCAGGGGTGCCAGAGGCAGGGCTGGTCAGGAGACCTTGCAGAGCCTCTGAAAATCCCTAACCAGGCGCACTCCTAGCCACATCTTTGCTGTACTGCTACAATCATCTTTCACAAGGGAATCAGGTGGGAAAATAACCAAGAGTCACTCTGGGGAGAGATTCTCCTGCATCCTCCCTTATGCCAGAGGCTGACAGTGGCACAGGAAAGCTTTTAAGAAAGTCTCTCTTTGGTAGTTTGTCTTTTTTTCTGAAATCAAGGCCTTGTGATAGAAACCATAGCAGGAGGAGGAAGTCACTGCTGCCCTGAGGATCTTACAGACTAATTGGTTACAGGAGGAAACACGGGGCCATGCGCAGGGCTGCAGCAGAGCTGGGGAGAAGCCAGCTCCTGACTCCTGAAGCCTTTCTGCCATGCAGTATTGTTTCCTCCAAGAGCTGCCCTACTGCCTGCTTTTCTTCCAGTCACCACAGGTACTTGTGTCACTGGTTATGTGTTCCCTCCTCCCTCAGTGCACAAATTGGTTCTTCCCCCCTGCTGCACAGGAGACCCACTGAAACCAGCAGGCTGGGTGGTTATAGCAGGGGAGCACTGACAGTGGTGATATACAAATATTTGTCAAATACAGTCTATCCAATCTAATCTATCTGTCTAGACATTTGTGCTGTGCTCATCACCATGGTATCTGAGCGCCTGAGGTCATGCAGTGACTCAGTGTCAGAGCCGTGGATAAGATCCAGACCTCCCGACTTCCAGTTCCAAGACGAACACTGGAGTGGAGATCAGCCTCACTGCTCCCCATCAGTCTGGGCTCAGCTGTACCCAGCTCCCATGCGCAGTCAGCAATGCTCCTCTTGGCCACTCTGGGCACTGCCAAGACCTCTACACCCCATCTATCACAGCAAAAGGGAGGCTCCACTACCTACCTGCAACCCCTGGGGTGCATGCCCATCAATCTACAGGCAGAAGCGTGTGATTGTCACACAAACACTCCAAGCATGAAGGTGTGCAAAGTCCTGCATTTACTGGACCTACTTTTAGCTTGATCACAGGGAAGCCATTTCACCTTCTCCATCCCTGCTGGGAAAACTGGCTTACAGTCTCCTCAGGACAGGCATGCAAAAACATATACAACCAACAGAAAAAGCATGCCCTACCTCTTACTGCAGCCCAACAAAAAAAACCAGACTGACTGGTGTCCAACATTCAGTAGTACACAAAGGGCATCAATTCTGCCAATGTTAACAGCTTCAGGCAAGAGGCATACAAAAGCAGGGTCTTTAAAATATGAGATAACATCATGTGTAAAGTTGTCTAAAAAGGCAGAACTCTGCATTTGGAGATCTGAGATGAGGCAAAAGAAGCAAACTTGATATTAAAGGTCTATGCTTTTATCAGTGCCTTGCCAATGGGTGCAAAAAACTAGACCTCCCCTTAAAGAAAAAGCTTATGCCTAGAAAAGATTTGTAGGCAAGATCACAAGTGAGGGAGTGTGAGAAATTCTGCCACTTTCACTAGTGAACAGCACCCTCACGCATCCCCGTTTCTCACCACCACTGCAGAAATCACCAACATCTTGTCCTGAAAGTAGTTTGATGCCTGTGAAAAGTGTACTTGGGAAGTTGGAAGCAGACAAAAGAGTTATAATAAAACCCGTCCTTTTTCTGCAAGCGATACTTGTCAAATATAAAAACAGTCAAAGTAGAGAACAAGTTGTGCTAATCTGCAATATTTTCCCAGTAACCAGTTATTACTTTCACATTTTATTTTATACTGCTTAAGAGCCCCAGAACCTAGAGTCATGTTGCTACATAAGAAATTCCTATGGCATGACTGCAGAGGAAAGGTCATGTTTCCAAGCCCACGTCTGCCTGCACTACAGCCAGAGGTGATGGTAGCCTGGATCAGGACATCTCTTCCAGATCTCAGCCTGGTATCTCAGCTGCAGAGAGCAGTGAAGACAATAGCACAAAATTCATTGTAATAGGTCTCCAGACAGTGCATGCTTACTTGTGCAACTGCCCTGCATTAACGTCCAAGCTGCTGTCTCTTCAATCCTGCCCAAGAAAGTTAGAATAAAGCAAGCTTGGGTTTCTCTGCCACCAGATCTCCAACTGCAATACGGACACAGCTGAAGAGAGTCAAAAACAGTGGGCAGATAAACAGAGCTTACATTATCATCCACTGAAGCCACACCATTTTTTATGAACTACAGCCAATGCTTTGAGGAGTCTGTTCATGCATTTCTGACCACGTGAACTTAGCAAGGCTGGCAGAGCCAAGGCTTGCAGTTGCTAAGGGACAGGCATCAGCCTCAAACCTACCCTTCAGCCTAAACTACAGGAACAAAGGCACTAACAGGGATCTTGGGGGCCCATATCTTTCATGAAGCAGACCAGAGTTTCTTTAAACCACTAGCGTCAGAAATTCCACAGCTCCCTTGGACAATCTTTTCCTGCCTTCGCTGCAGTGTAAATGTAATTTTGTCCCATCATTTCCCCCCAATGACAGTGAAAGAATAAATCAATCATCCTTCCTTAACAACAGCTTTTATGTACTGAGAAACCATGACATCCCTCTCCCTCCCCCCCGAATACTGTCTTGCCTAGATTAAATGCACCTGATTTCTTCAACCTCTCCTCAGAGGTCATGTTTTCTAATGCTCCAACAATTAGTGCTGCTCTCCTCTGGCCTTTTGCCACTTTGTCTACATCTCTATTTTAAAGCATGATATCTAGAAACCAGCCACTGAAGCAAAGATGACATGTCACCAGCACAGAGAAAAGAAAAAGCAACCTCCCACAGCATTCTCATAAAACCACAGAAGTCTCTCCAAACCCACTGCACCCATCCCGGGAGCTGCTCGCTTTGTGTAGGAGGTTAGACATGTTAAAGGGGCAGCCTAGCTCTTGCCATTAGGGTGCATCACGCATGCAGGAAAAGGGAGTACAGCACTGTCTCTTTTGGACAAGAGGAAAGATTATTCAAGACAGCTTTGTGCATGAGCCCCAGTGTTCCCTGCTTGCACCCTGCCTGTGGTATCACCAGTCTCTGAGATCCCTGCAGCAGCAGGAAAACTGCTTTAAGGTCTTCTGCTGAGTAAACAAAATTAAGAGGCTTCAGCCACTAAATCTACATATAGTACAGGTCTGTGCCTTACCCTGCAATGGTAAATACCCTCAGGCATAAGATTCTGTCCATGCAAAACCCTACTCCTCATCCCCAGCTCTCCAGAAGCTGGGGGACAGCAGTGGCAGCAGAGCCCAGGAACAGCAAGTCCCAGACAAGTTTGCTCTGCTCTGGTTGGCAGAACTGTTTCTGCAAATGCAGGGTGATAGAGGCAGGCATGACGATGGCAAAGTTTGCTGATATACGTGGCTACAGAACTGCAGTGCCTTACTTGCATTTTCAATGAACCCCACACCAAATAGGATCAGCAGTTAGGATATTCTCAGGCTTGCCAAAGGCATAACCAGTACACAG